TATGTCTGCCTCTTTTTGTCTTTAATGCCACGCCTTATCTAAAAGACACAACTTCATCCTTAATAGGTGCTACAGAGCTATCAGGTATTCCTACCCATAGATTAAGTAGGTAGAGTAAGGGAGAACATTTTATTACACCACTGACCAAAAGATAGATGAATAACTGCATTTTATCAATGAAATGCAATACAAGTAGATAGGCAAGTTAACTGAAATCCACTTTGAATTTCCTACAAAGTTTCTGGTGTTTATACTAGGTATTAATATACCTCTAAATGGCATGTGAACTTTTCAAGAGAAACCGTATGCTTCATTGTCCCAAAGGTGCTTTTTCAAGAGGCAACTGAACTTTCTGGTTTTTCTTTGAAGATGTTTCTCTTCTCATCCAAGAAGCTTCTTCAGCTCCAGAATGAAAACTTTTCTTGGATGAGAAGCAAAATGTCTTCAAAGAAAAACCATTTGCCTCTTGAAAAAGTACCTGCGGGACAACCATGACCTGGATGACTGAGAATGTCCATAGACATATTCTTCATTGTGACAGGCAGAAGACCAGTAGGAGCAAGCTTATTCCTAATGCCAGACAGCAGTAGTAGTGGTTCTAATCACTTTCTGAGAAAGAAAATGACTGATAATAATACCTGGGCTTGGTTCTTTCAATCTGATGGAAAGTAAAAGAGTTTGTTTGTTCTTATGTTTCCAATTAGTCAGAGCAAAACATCTTTTTGCTGCTAGTCAGATAGAACGACACATCCTAAAAATGATATCAAAGGAGATACACAATCTGAAGCAATAAGCTCTGGGGGAATTAAGGGGTTCTTTGTCACACATGCTAATACCAAAAATAACTGTCCATTTTGTCTTACAAATTATTTCTTATTTCTAAAGCATGCTTGGTAGATGAGAATATAACTATGAGACTGAATCTGCTTTGCTTCATGTTAGTCTTTCACAGGAAGAAAGAGGTGAATAATTCAATCTAATACTGTAACACTGGACCCTGACTCAACCTCACCCACTCAATGAGAGCTAGTTATTTTAGCTAGCAATGAGAGCATTGTTATTTTAGAGGGCAGGCATATTGCTAGAATTAAGTCTCTTGACAGCAGTCACTTTCCTCTCCCTTGATTTGTTCCTTCTGCTGACAATCTTCTTCCATCCAATTTCTCCATTAGGTCTCCCTCCCATGGCTTCCTAAATCAAAGGGATTTTAAAAGGGGGAATACACTGACCTATCTAATGTACAGTATCTCAAACTACAGGAAGCAGCATGGGAGAAACTTTAAAACCAAGTGTATGTCAGCCCTAAAGGTAAACTAGACTAAGAAACAAATGCTATGTAGGCCTAAAATGACTTTTATTAGAATAGCTATAGCAAATCTTTGTTTCTTTCTTCCCTCTTTTATTAAACAGGGATATGTGTTTGTGCCTATATGATATATTTTCATAAATTAATTTCTCTCTCTCTCTCTCTCTCTCTCTCTCTCTCTCTCTCTCTCTCTCTCTCTCTCTCTCTGAAGGTGGTGCTTTGAATCTGTATTGACCCCTGGAGACTGCCTGGATTAATCTCTGCAGCTTTCTCAGCAAGATTTTCAGAATTGGTTTGCTCTTGCCTGCTTCCTAGGACTGCGAGAGAGGAATTGGCCCAAGATCACCCAGCTAGCTTCATGGCTAAGGCAGGACAAGAAGTCCTGATCTCTTTTTTCTAGTCTGGTACCTAAACTACTATACCAAACTAGCTCTGTCACATGGGTTAATCCCGATTTATCTGTTTATTGCCTTGACAATGAATCTTCCCTTTCACTGTTAAGGCCACCCTTTACACTCTCTACAGTCAGGGGTGAAATGCTCCCGGTTCAGACCGGATCACCTGATCCGGTAGCAATGGAGGCGGGTGGTTTGGAGAACCGGTAGCAAAAATCCTGCCCCCCCCCCACATGCCCAGCTGAGCCACACAATCATCAGAGGCTTTTTCTTTTAATTTTTAAAAGCATTTTTTCTACAATCTCTTCGGCCAAAAAGATGCTTTTAAAAATAAAAAAAAGCCTCTAATGATCAGGCGGCTCAGCTGGGATCATCAAAGGGATCGTCAGCTGATGATCCCAGCTGACTTGCCTGATCGGCAGAGGCTTTTTTTCTTTTAAATGCCTCTGATGATCCAAGCTGAGTTGTCTGATTGGCAGAGGCTTTTAAAAGAAAAAAAGCCTCTGCCAATCAGACAACTCAGCTGGAATCGTCAGAGTCTTTTGAACACATTTTTTTACAACCTCTTCACTGAAGAGGTTGTAGAAAAAATGGTTTTAAAAGAGAAAAAAATTGGCCATGCCCACCCAGTCACATTACCCTCCCCCCACCAAGCCACGCCCACAGAACCGGTTGTAACAAATTTTAGATTTCACCACTGTCTACAGTATATACTAGTTCTATAGAATTACAGGTAAAGCTGTACCCACCATTATTTTTTTTAAAAGCCCTTTTAATGCCCATGTGCAATCTATCATTTCCACTACAAACAAGATCCTTAATAAGAATTGATCAATTGGCGTATGTGGGAATGGGGTATATTCTATTAATCTTGAAATCCTGTCAATTGAAATAGATAGCAGTGACTCCTTCTCTCTTCCATTACCCACCTTTCTGCTTTTCATAAAATGTAAACTAGAATAGAAAAGGCCCAATGGATTACTGTTGAATTAAAATAGGAGGGGAAGTTGTGGGGTAGCCTTGGAGGCAGCTAGCCAAATATAGATTCACAAACTCCAACAGCAGCAGCAGCAGCAACAGCTGCAGTAATCCATTGAATCAGAAAGTGGAGCTGCGGGTTCCTCCCTGATGTTCTCTCATGGCTCTTGAACAGCAATCAGATGTCTTCTCTTTGGTGTTGCTTATGCTTAGTTTCATAATAAAACCAACAATGACTCAACTGGAAGGAGTCTGCATTCTGAAAAGCCTGTGAAAGCAGTAATAGTCAATTAGATTAGACTTGCGGAAACAATGTGTAGGAGTAACCTTTTGAAACAGACATACTAATGAACTCTCCTGAAGCATTTTTCAAGGCTATAGGAAGGACATCATTGACCATGTAAACTACAGCACCCAGCTATAGATTTCAAAAGCATGACATTTAAGCCACACGTGGCACCTTCCCAGTTCTATTTTGAAGGGGAAATATCAATCAGGAACAATTTCTGATGAGGAGAAGTGGTTTAAGAGCATGAGCCTTGGTGGCGCAGCAGACTGAAGTGCTGTTAAATAGCACCAGCTGCCTGCAATTACTACAAGTTCAAATCTCACCAGGCTCAAGGTTGACTCAGCCTTCCATCCTTTCGAGGTAGGTAAAATGAGGACCTGGATTGTGGGAGCAATAAGCTGACTTTGTATAAAAAAGAACACCGCTGGGGGGTGGGGGGGCGAAAGCCCTACTAAGCAGGTATATACAAAAGTATGAAGGCTATTGCTTAACGCATTGTAAGCCGCCCTGAGTCTCCGTAGAAGGGTGGCATATAAATCGAACCAATAAATAAATAAACAAAAAATAAACAGCAACATTTTCAAAAGCTTTCAGAAAGAATTTTCTAGTTCTGATAGTGAGATGGCTTGAAGCAAGTTAGTGTTACCCCAGACTGAATGATCAGCCACCAGTGAAAGCAGTCTTGAGTTGTCTCTATTATTGCTGCTGTTGTTGTTTGTAGCACTGTTTGTTAAAGCAGCACTGTATTTTTCAGAGTATAAAATGCACCTTAGTTTTTGGGGAGGAAAATAAGAAAAAAGCTGATTGGCAGGTGGATCGGCCTCCCGGAATACCCCCAATCAGAGGTGAATTTTAGCAACAGGTTCCTTTGTTGTGAGTTCTGTGCCTTGCTTTTTTTTTTTTCTGCCTCTGAAACTTCTGAAACTGTTTCAGAAAAAACTTTTTTTCCTGCCTCTGAAAGCCTCTGAAACAGAGCTTCAGAAAAAAAGCCTCTGAAGCTCTGTTTGGGGGCTTCTTTTCTGAAGCTTTGAGAAGCTGGGCGGGTTTACATTCAGAGTATAAGACCGACCCAGATTTTCACCCTCTTTTTGGGGGGAAAAAGGTGTGTCTTATACTTCAAAAAATATGGTATATATTAAATTATTTTCATAAAAGAAATATTTGGGAATTGAGGAACAATCTGAAAGTTTATAAAAGGGCTGATGAGCTGAAGAGATTGAGCGCCACTGCTGTATGTGTGTGGTGTTCCTTTTCACATGGCTAATGCAGTGACTGTTTGCTATGATTTGATGGGAAGGGCGATTGAATTGGAGTACTCTGGAACTGTCTACTCACATAGGCCTATGTGAGTCAGAAAAAATATACATTGTGAGATTCTTTGTTATATAAAGCACTGTTGTTATATCTTGGTGAGTTGACATGACTTCATAAAACTGTTGTCAGGCACTTCTGTTGGCCTGTAAAGCAATGTGGCTACTCACTGTTAGAAGTAGACTGTTTTACCACTTCATAGATTTGCATCCAAGGGTGCCCTGCTCAAGCAAAATGTCCCAGTTAATTAACAAATTATGTTAATTTGTTTTAAACTCTTGGAAGAATAGAGACATTTAAGCTGCCTTCTTCCACACTAGTATATACAATGATCTATTGAAGTTTTCTAAGACTTCCATCTGAAAGTTTTATATTTTCAGATGCTGATGTTTGAAAGTGGAATTTTCTGCATGCAAAGCATTTGCTCTGCTACTGAGCTATGGCCATTTGCCAAATGTTTTCATTGTTAGACTTCTATTTGACTTTGTAATTGGTTAAGCATAATGCCAAAATAACCCCAGTCTTCTGTAATCATACTTTCCTACTGTCATAATTGTTTACTGTATTTGTTCTTGCTAATACAATGATATGACTGGGTATGTTATATTGATACCAGTGTTCTAGAAAACTGCCAAAAATTTTCTTAAATGAATCCAGTAAACCCAATCAACTGCTAACACCTCCCCCAATTAAAAAAAATCTTACTCTGGAATATTATTGAATATATTTTAAGTGGAATAGTATTTACTCTGAGGTAGAACAAGTTGCCTAGGTTAACAACAGACAAAGTCAGCATGAAAGAAATTAGATAAAAATGTCTGGTCAGAAACAACCATGGAGAAATTCTGAGTTCATATCCTAAAGCCTGGAGTAGTAGAAAGATAGGTTATAGAGTGTGAATTTTTGATATAGATACCCTTTGTCACTATTCCTAATTCTACTTTTAAATGACTTTAGGATCGAGGAATAATAGAATATTCTGCCCACTTTCTTGGAGAGATATTGCTCTTCAGAATAGACAACATTCTTTTTCTTCTTCTTCTTGTACCATATCCATCATTGGACGTTGGCGATCATGTTGGCAATCCTATTTTTGTCAACAGCCACATGAAAAAATGCTGCTGTGTTTTGTCCAAACCAGTCCCTTAGGTTTTGAAGCCATGATGTTCTTCTTCTGCCTGGACCTCGTTTGCCTTCAATCTTTCCCTAGAGGATTAAGGAAAGGATGCTGTATTTTTCTGGGTGTTGCATCACATGTCCAAAATATTCTAACTTTTGCTTTTTAATGGCTTTGTTTTCCCAGGTGGCTTACTCCTCCTCATTTGTGATTTTATTAACCCAGTTTATATGTAACAGCCGTCTGTAAATCCATATTTCAAATGCTTCTAGTTTCTTCAAGTGGTTTTCTGTCAGAGACCAACTCTCTACTCTGTAGAGCAGGTTAGAAAAGATGTAACATCTGAGACCTCATAGATAACATTAGACCAAATAAATCTATGGCCTGCCTCAGTATAAAGATATGTGTATGAAGGTTTCCATATTATAAGAAGTTTTTTTTCTCAAATTAAGGCATCCCAGAAGGTGACTAGTTTTTTTTCTTTTCTAGATAATTATAAAGATAGTCTTCATGGCCATTTTATTCTAAATGTCTCATTTTTTGTGAACAGATCCTTGGGGTAAAATACTGATGAATGAGCTTGATAGTGGCGCTACTGTTAATGTAACAGAAAAAAGAGGGGGAAAATGGAGGCAGGAGAAAAAAAGAAGGCAGATCCTTCTCAGATTTGTCTACTGTCTCGTGAAAAACCTGCGTACATATTCCATTGCTGAAAGAACCCAAATGAATAGAAAAGCAGTGCATAGAATAATGTGCTGGCAGCTTTGCATGACTCTCTTCCACTCTGAAGGAATATAGAGCTCACCCTGAGGAGAAGGAAGAGAGGGAGGAGGGAGGGAAGGGGTGGGCCATTAAAGGAAGACTTCCAGAAAAGATTACAGAGCTGAGAAAGATGAAAGTATAAGAAATAAAGCCAGAATAACCCCACCCTGATTTTAATTAGTGTAAGAAACTCAGGAGGCTTCCCACCCTAGGAAAAAATAAAGCTTGGATCAAGCTGTGCCTTGTTTCTTGACACTTCCTGCCTCAAATTGGTGACATATCCATGTGATTCCTATTTATATGTATATAAGATCATTCATAAGGAAGCATCTAGAATTCAGGGCTCCATGACTGAGCTCTATTAGCGTTGTCATTTTCTTGGCACATTGAATTATGCAACAAATGCAGTAAGACTGCATCACAGAATCAGTTAATGTACATGATAAATCAGCAACTATTTATATTATTAACAAATTATAGGCTCTGCAAGGATCCAGGGCAGGTATGTATAAATTACCTGTCAGCTGTCTCAATCTTTTGGTTCTAAGTCAGATTTCGGTGTCTTGGGGACATCTGCTGATAATGCTGATAGCATTGATAATACCGATAATGCATCCACAGCATTGCGTTGGTTTCAAGGTCAGCTCCATCCAGAATATTGTTAAAGGAATAAGGAACTGTATCAGCGGATTCCTTGAAAGTAAAACATAAATATCAAGATATAAGTGCAAAGCCGCACACCCAACAAAATTAGATTAATTAGACATACGATGGCTTTTCTGGTTGTGCAAAAAAACTGGATTACTCAATCAGTAATACTAATGGATTTGGCCATTTCCTTCTTCTTTTCTTATACCTGGAAAAAAAAAACTCTTATTATGATTCATTTGACTCTAAGTATTGCTGATATATATTTTTACAGTTAAAGTGCCTGTGAAATAAAGTATCTGCCTTGTGAGGCACTATATTGGCAAGTAGTTTCCATATTACTTTTTAAAATTGAATCATTCCACTTGAATAAAAGCACTCTTTTCCCCTGCTAAGTTATGTGCTTTTGATCTGTCCCAGGCAAAGCAAATAATGACAATTTTTCATGGAATATTTACCGTTACCGTTATTTGTTATTCGTTTTGTATGGATGCTGCAATATAATCATGAAACTTTGGGAAAATTTTTTAAAATATCTTATTTGGCTAAGGAAGCTTATTGTCTTTGCATCGCTAATGAAGGGATTAATATTATTTCTACTCTCTGAGTTCCTTAAATCAATCGCTTATAGAGCACGTTTTCACAAAAGTAGCATTTCAATATCACTCTTCGGCTTAAAAACAAAATCCAGAAGCTTCTCTTCCTTTTTCCTGAGTGTATTCATATTTATGTACTATCCTAACCAGTAACATTTCTAGCCGGCCTCCCAGACTTATTCTCCAATTATACTGTATATTCTTTGTACTCTTGCTTGCCCCATTGTTTTTTTTCTCCTCATATTCAAATGGAAACAAAAATGAATTTGTGGTTCCACAGAGCCTTAATAGTTCCTAATGAAGTATCCGCTTTCAATTCAAACCACTTTCTCTTCAGTTTGCCCTGAGAGTATTTTGCCTGCAGTTCTAACAACCTTGACATTTTACGTTGATAAAGAAGAACATTATGGTGCCTATGAAGAGATATGCGGAAATGCTGATGAGGAATCTTCTTTCCCTTTCACCCCTCCTATTTTGAGATGGGGGCTTTTGCTCAGGTGATATGCCAGTCTGCCTTCTAAAACTTTTACTGTGAAGGGTTGGAGGAAGTGTTGCGATATTTTCAGGATCAGACTCAATAAATTGTTCAAGAATTAAGAGTTCAAATATATCTCTCTTTATTTACATAAGGCATTCTATATTCACTGAATATTCACAGATAGAAGCACAGAATGAACGTATGCAGCTCCTTATATATACAATGGGTGGAGCTAATTATGGGAGTGGTAAAGTATGAATACATTAAGAAGTGAAGAATAAGTTAACCCCTGACACACTGTTCATATATTATTTACATAATGGAGAATAAGGCATTTACTTGTGACAAATCCCCCTCTAAATGCCGATTCGATATATTACAACAATTACATTCAGATTCAGAACAATATAATACATGTAACTTAGAAGTCAGGTATTTATGTTGCTTAGATGGCAAAGGCTTAGTTCATATGTCAGCTATTTGCTCTGATGTTTCGCAATGAACTGCTTTGATAAATCCATCCTGAGACAACTGTCTCACGTGTTTAAATTTTATATCTATATGCCTGGATCTTTGTCCAATGGCATCAGATCTAGATATTTCGATAGCAGCTTTGTTATCTTCATGCATGATAAAAGGCAAAATGGGTTTTTTCCAAACGTCAGAGAGTAAATCATTAAACCATACAAGGTTATTAGCTGCCTTAGATAGACAAACATATTCTGCCTCTGTTGTTGAAGTGGCTACTAACTCTTGTTTGCCAGTATACCAGTAAACTGGACAGTCATTGAGAAAGAATATATAACCAGATGTGCTTTTTCTACATGAGGTATCTCCAGCCCAATCCGCATCGGCATAACATGTGAGGATGGGCTCTTTGACATTTTTAGGTTCCAACAATAAACAGAAGTCTAAACTATTTTTCAAGTATCTTAATATCCTTTTGACAGCTTCCCAATGGTATAGTGATGGTTTACTAACGTGTCTGGACAATAAATTGAGAGGCAAAGCAATATCAGGCCTAGTCCAATTGGAGATGTAAAGAAGTGAACCTATGACAGACCTGTAGAATGTATTGTCTTTGAATTCAGGAGATGATTCTTCTGTATTCTTCAAAAAATCAGTTTGCATGGGAGTGTCACATGGCTTAGCGTTACTTAAGTTACATTTATTCAAGAGCTCTATGATTTTGTCCCTTTGAGAGAGCTTAAATCCTCTTCTGGTTTTACTGATTTGAACACCAAGATACTTATTTACTTTACCCAAAGATTTCAATGAAAAATGTTCATTTAGTTTTGTTACAAATGTCTCTTTCCTTTCTTTATGTTTACCTATGTATAAAATGTCATCCACATAGATTAGTACAAATTCTAGAGAATTATTATCTTTTTTAACAAAGAAGCAATTGTCGGCAGTAGTGGCATTGAAATTCATAGTTTTGAGAACTTTTACTAAACAATCATACCATTGTTTACCAGATTGTTTTAACCCGTATAAACTTTTATTTAATAACCAAGTCTCATTTTTGTTTGTGTATTGACTGTGGGGTGCTCTTACATATATTTCCTTATCTAACTTTGCGTGTAGGTACGCAGTCTGTATGTCGTATTGAAATACATCAAGGTTGAGTGCTGATGCTATAACCAGAGCTGTTTTGACACTCTCTGTTCTTACTGTGGGGGAGTATGTGTCTGTATAATCCTCGGGATATTTCTGTGCATAACCTTGTGCAACTAATCTAGCTTTGTATAGAGTATTGCCTCCTTCTAAATTCTTAATTTTATATATCCACCTAGTGCCAATGATAGTTTTGTCTTTTGGTGCAACTGTAGGGGTGAACACATTTAGCCCTCGTAAACTATCCATCTCTTTAGTCATGGCTGCTTCCCATTTTATCTTTTCTTCAGGAGGAAGCTTTAACACTTCCTCATATGTGTTAGGTATTGGTGATTCTCTATCCATATACATTACATAATCTTTGTATTTATTTGGCATTTGATTTCTGCTACTTCTGGTTGTTTTTTCTGGTTTACTATCATTGTCATGTAAATATCTTGCTTCTTTTTTAGTTAATGAATCTGTCTTTATTTTATGTCGACTGTTTGTCCATGTTTTAATTCTATTTTTATGTGTATTGTTACTGTGCTCTTCTCTAATTCTTTTTTCTTGAAGTTTGGTATCTGTATTGGTGTTTGGGAATATTTCATTAAGATGTATTTTAGACCAGTTGGCCTGTTCATGGAACACAGCTGTTCTGGTGACTATGAATTTATTATTATTATCGATAAATCTGTATCCTTTTGTACCTGTCTCGTATCCCATGAACCTAAGTCTCCTGGATACGTTCTCACCTTTGCGCCTTAGTTGTTTAGGTATGTGTACGTCTGCAGTGACTCCAAATATGTGCATGTGTGCTAATTTTGGTTTCCTATTATACATCACTTCGTATGGTGTCTTATTTACAATGCTGGACCAAGTTCTATTTTGTGTGTAATTAGAGTATTGTAGGGCTTCTGACCAGAATTGTTTACCTAAGCCAGCATCTTCTAAAGTGCATCTAATCATGGTTTGTAATGTTGAGTTCTTTCTCTCTACCACTCCGTTCTGGAATGCAGAAAATGGACTAGATGTGTAATGTAACATCCCTCTGTCTTTTAGCCATTGGGAGAATTCCTTAGACATGAATTCACATCCCCTATCTGTCATAATTTGTTTTATTTTAATATTGTGTTGTGTCTCTATACGTTTGTAAAACTCTTTAAATTTCTGAAAAGTTTCATCCTTATGTTTTAATGTGTAAACAAATCCATAACGACTATAATCATCCACAATTGTTAGAAAATAACATTTTTTATAAGTAATTGATGGTGTTAGTGGACCAACTAGGTCCATATGTACCAAATCAAAAATTTTGTTGGTTGATCTCGTTGACTTTCTAGGTCTGGGACTAGTTTTGAGCTTTGTAGATTTACATACTGAGCATTCCAAATAGTTTTCACAATTTTTTATTTTAACACCTTCTGCATGTTCAGTCATCTTTTGTACTACAGGAAAACTGGCATGTCCTAATTTCCTATGTAAGACATGAGCACACTCATCATGAATTGGTTTACCTATCTTAGGTTTTTTATCATTGTGTGTATCTTTATGATTATGGGTTACCTCACGTTCTTCATTGTCACTGTTACTATTCTCTTCATTATCTATTTCATTATCATTTTCCATATTTGAATCAATGTTGTGTAACCATTCTTCTTTTGTCATTAAGTAAGGTAGACCTCCTTTGGTTATTACTGTACCTATGTTTATTTTGTTTTTTTCTAATGTTGCTTTTCCTTTTGAGAACACAATGTTAATGTCAGAATCTCTGCTTAATTTTATGGCACTAAGTATATTATGAGGAATTTCAGGTATTAGTAATACTCCCTCTATTTTTCCTAAGCCAGGTAAGATTACATTCCCTCTACCTGTAACTTGAACTTTTTCTTGGTTAGCCACTTTGATTACAAATTTATCTTCTACAAATGAAGATAATATGTTTTTATTATTAGTAGTGTGATTAGTTGCTCCAGAATCAATAAGCCAATTATTGTTCTCTGGTTGTGGTGTGTTAATGTTGTCATGTTTGTTTAGCCCATTCAGTGAGCCAGATTTTCTATCCTTTGAGTTATCTCTGCCCCCTCTATATTCTCTATAGTTGGGTGGACTTCTATACCTAAGTCTATCATTGGAAGACTGTCTGTTGTTGTACCTATTTCTATATTCTGACCTATGTCTATCTTTTTGAATTTTGGGACAATCCCTCCTATTATGTTCCTTAGATCCACAATTGTGGCACCTAAATGTTTCATGATATCTTTCTTGAAATGCTACCCTTTTGTATTGTTTGTGTTCTATTTGGTTGTTATAACGACTCCTCCTTGAATTGTCTTCAGCTATTAACTTATTGGATAGACTTTCTATGGATAAGT